GGCGAAAAACAGGTTTGCTGCTGCAGTTCCAACATTTCGCGCATCACTTGGTAATATTAATAAATATCTCTAACGTGTCATAGAGAGCTTTTAGATGGGAACCAATCAACCACAAATCAATACATTGTACGAAGTACAGGGGGAATCTGGAGTGGCAAGATATCCTTCTTGTTTGATGTATGCTTCATATTTCATATTGGAGTGAGTGTGGGGACTAATAATCAAAATGGCCTGATGAGGGAGGCTTCAGCCCCGTTTAGTCGACGAACTAGACATGCACTCGGAGAATGTTTACACGTCTTTCTCTCGAAAGCTTAATCAATTATATAAGCAATTTACTATTCGTAAAAAGATTATTTTTTCTTGCTTCTACGTGGCCTCAGGCCTTCCCCGCACCAGCAAGCCATGGGGATGCGAAGACAAAGTCTAGAACTAACATGCGCACGCATAGAGATGCATGATCTCCGAATATTCCCGACTATTTCCCGAACTCAGGAACCCACAATGGGGCCAAGAAAGGTAAGCCAGGTACAGAAAGAATGATTGCGCAACTCCATGCCCAGCAAATATGTAAGTAGGTATATTTGGAGCCCCCCCCCCTGCATAAACCGCGCCTTCAATCGACACCACAGGATATCCGACCCCTCACTCCCTCGTAATTAGTCTGAAAAGGGCGACATGGCTCCGAAGCATAGGCGTGAAAATCAAAAGATCCAGCACCGCTGAGATCACAGAAATTGGATTGACCCTGTAGCCCTTCATAAAAGTCCCTTCCCAATAATCGTAGAAGTTGGTGTGCAGATCTCATGACCATGCCTCCTTAGCATTGATGTATGATCAGCTTGAGGTATTATGATATTGATGTTGTACGCCGCATACCAGATGTTCGAACAGCCACGGCTCATCTGGCTTCTTCAAAATTTTATAGCCGAAAGTTACTGGCTACCCAGTTGGAGGCTTCAAAAGTGAGCTAGACCTTTTGGTTTGTGTACTGAATTAATATATGCCACCCTGAATTTTAATTTCGGTGACAGTCCGGCCACCTCTCAATTTTTTTTCTCACATTCTCGGGGTGGAGAAAAGCTACAACAGCTTTTCTGGGCATTTGACTTTTTCAGTCGGTCAATGCTCCCCTCGCTTTTGGTTCATCCCACCACAAGCTATTATACCCTTAATTCGTACTAATGGTCATACCCTTTCGTCGTACTTATAGTGATACCCTTAAGTCGTACTTATGGCGATACCCTTAAGTCGTACTTATGGTGATACCCTGATATATATGGATGGTGATTCTGCAATCAATGCAAATGGAATTGGGGCTACCATGCCAGCAATTTGAGGGGCCAAGGTATCTTCAATTCCAAACAGCTTTGAATTTTCAGTTTCCATATATCTGCCAAGAAGAGCGCACGTCATCATTCTCGGCAGACTTTGTTCATCTGGAAAGGCAACCTTTGAACATGGACACAAGATATCTTGTAAAGAGCAATCTTTCAAGTTTCTGAATTCTCCAATTTTAGGAAAAATTCACCTGAGTCAGCACACGCCCTTTTCATTCGGGTTTGACAAGAAACGTACATGTGAGTCACACCTTCATTATAAGATTTCGAGTTTTGTATTGTTTTTATTGACAATCAGATGATCTGGCACTGAATGCACGTCAATTACTTCAAAAAAAAAAACAAAAACTTTATTACAATTGATAGATTGAACATCCTGACACTCACGGAGAGAATCGGGCGGCAGTTTATTGAGCTATGGAGTCTAGTACTTTATCGGAATCAGTATTGCCGCGTTTTGTGAATCATGACGTCTTTGCAACTCATCTCAGAGAAGATGTAGCTGAACTGGTTCTTTCCTAAAGACAGTCATAGTCATTGCCTGCAATGATTGATTACTTTTCTGAGTTCAGAGGCATTACCACCAGCGTCATCATTTGTATCTGTCACGCTACGTGAGCGTGAAAGCTATACTTGGGGAAACACTTTCATAGCGGGCTGCTTCATCTTGGTTTGAGCTAAAGAAATTGAGTGCCATTTCCTCTCGTTCCATTGAGTGACGCAGTAAAAAGGGATGTTTCGAGTTTTGCAAGGGTCCCATTTCCACGACATCCTTGAGTCCGAAAGGTTGGCAGCTTTCTCGCAATAGCGGGACTTCTGGCCCATAGTCCCGTTCATCTGTAGTCTTGTGAATTGCAAGAGGCAATCTATTGGGTACATTTCTAAGGCTTGGGGACTGCAAATACGCCACGACAAACATGAGGGCTTTTAATAAAGTGGCTGCGCAATCAGCTAAAGCCCGGCTACCCCTCTGTTGTTCCAAACTACTATTACCCGTAGTATCAGAACCAAATGAGGAGAAACGGTGGCTATTCGGGAATTTCGGGTGAAAGGAAGCACAGTTGCTTCAGCCGAATTCGGTGGTCCATCTGACCGGACCCAGGACTACTCGGGTACGCAAATCCATAGATTCTACTCCTTACGGTACGGTCAAGGCATCTAGAAAAGCCAAGAATTTTTGACTTTTCTGTTCCCAATCCCCGTAAAACATAGTTGGGGCGCTTTCCCGAACAAATGAATCATTGCATCTCAGCAGATTCGAGACCGCGGGTCTAAGAAGACGAAACAAAAAACCTGGAATAAGAGTAATATATGATAGAGGAATCTGAATACCACCGACCGGCTCCTTCATGTTATCACTGGCTCTGGTGGGTAATCCAGCTCACGCGAAAATATACACCGGTTACTCGCCCGCATAAGTCATGCGAACTTTTGGCAGAGCTCTTAAGACCGAAGACGGAAAGCGCACTTCCGTAAATCAAGAGCTACAATTCCCTGATATGAATCCAGGAGTATGCATACCACACCGCAACAATTCCGTTGGCAACCACTGGTACCTAGACCCAAACACCCACATTGATCTAATGTTTCTAAATACGTGGGCAACTTGTATATTTTGGCGTTCGCTATTTTCTAAAATCCAAACCTAATGTGATGTAGTCAACGGCCCGAATTAAACCATGACATGTACTGATTCCAGCAGGGGACCGGCTTCGGCCGAGATCCGGGTGGACGGAGCATATATTAGCAGCGCTTTGCCACCAAAGCCCGAACATGGAGATTCGCCCCGTGGTCACGTGACCGGGCCGGGCGGCTCACGCCCTTGACTCGGGGCAAAGGCGCGGAAATTGCAGCGACTCGCTGAGGGCGCCGCTGGTCCGTGTTCGGAAGTTCTGGCATATAGCGCGGGCAAATGGCCCGCCTCATATAATCCGGCGGGGAGGGTACATTCGAATCTTTGCTGGTGCGCTCCAAACAGAGCCTTTTCTTAGCACTGAGATGTGGTGGGCTCAATCAGCATGGCCATGCCCATAACTCCGATTTTTCCCCTCATGTTCGCCTAGAGATTGCGTTGCTTCTAAAGTCCGAGATCCCGCTTTCCCCCGCCAGGACTCCATGTAAGCTTGTGCGCGCATTTCTTCCTGCAATGATCGGGAAAACACGCGCTACTAAGCACGGCGATGCAATGACTCAGAAATAGATATAAATACGTGGTATTCCGCTGAGTGTCACAGCTTTCTTTCTTAGATTCATTCAGAACACTCCCAGCTCTACAACACCAATCACCATGAACCCAGGAAAGATGACCGCTCAAGAAAAGGAGGCCCAGATCATGGCCGAAATCAGACTGAACACTGTCAAGTTCACTCCCAAGTACGAGACCACATTCTTGGGCAATTTCTTCGGCTTTGCTTTCAAGAGCAACTAAGCGCAGTGTGCCGCACTGGTTTCTCCACGGCGCCCACGGAGAAGATCTGGAATAGTGTCCGGGCAACGGTTTTGGAATGACACTACTTCCGCCTAATTTATAGATGATGAGTTACGAATGAAACGCTTTTTTAAACTCCTGCATGTGTAGACTTGTCGTCCGGCGTACCGAGCGCGTCGCGACCGCGATGAGCTGCGGCGCCTCGGACCAGCGGAAGTATGCTCCACATCCCAACTAGTGCACTGTGCCCATGCGGCGCTTTGCCTTCTCTTAGATATAGCCCCGGCGGTCTGCTGTCGCCGAAACATCTGACTCCACTGACACCTGTCTGGCGCGTGCGGCGATAAGCGGCGCGGCACGTGACTGGTTTCCGCACACGCGGCGCGAAACGCCAAAGTCACGTGCCGCG